AGGACAAATGTGTTTCTTTGATTCTCTGAGAGTGTCGCTCTGCTTCTTCCTCTAAAGCTCTCTGAAATGAAGTGTATTGTAGAGCAGTGGTTCCCAACCTTTTTTACCAAGAGCCCCCCCAAATGACTCCTGTTGAAAGTTGCCCCCCCCACACGCAACAGCGGTAAGTGAGTGACTTTGATGGTTATTGGATTCAGGATTCATTCATTTGGATTCCCGCTGTATGAAGAAATTAAAGGACGGCGCAAGTGGAAACAATTCACAAAGGGATTAAACTGTTTAAAACACATGCTCAAAGTAAGCCGGATATTGCCGATGTGTTTATGTGGGTTCAAAAGTTGTAAATAATCTACAAAATGGAGGAGACCGATCTGATCGGAGCAACTGTGACAAATAATCCAACTGAAACCGGCATGGACGATGTCTACGTTTTTAAAAATGCGCTTATCCAGAAAAGCCTGGTTTGGACACTTTACGGGCAGAAGAAACATTTCTATTAAAGAAAGAATTATACATTTCTGTCTTTTTATGCCTTTAATAGCTACTAACTTGAATTTTTATTCAAATTAATTAATCAATTATTTGTTATAGGTTATTGTAATGTAGAGACAAGGCTTTTAGTGACAATCATATATATATAAAAAAAAAAAAAGAAGTAAAAAAAAAAAAAAGTCTAAATATGATATTTGGACTCAAATCATCTGAGGCCTGGCGCCCCCCCTGCGATCTTTGGTGCCCCCCAGGTTGGGAACCACTGGTCTAGACTACTGTCACACATCACAACACTTTCAATACTTATTCTAGAAGTACTGAATCGTTTCAAACTTCATTCATAACTGTTTCTTAGTCAGCATTGAATTCTGGGCTATTTTCTTTTCTGCTTTCTTTTGAAAGTCCAATAGTAGAGCACTCTATATTATTAACGTCATACTTTTGGTGGCTGTGTGATATTGTTTTCCACTCTTTTGATCCAAACATTTTCAATAGCTCCCGACTCTACAGCCTTTGGTATTTAGTATTTACAAAAATGAATGTTCACTGCAGTTTAAAAAACTGTTTGCATTCAAGGCTTTATTTGAAAACCTCAATATAAGCTTTGAACTCAGTTTTCACATTTTACTGATAATAAAGCTGCTTTTATTCGTGTTGAACCAAGTCTTTTCACTTCCATCTTTTCATCGTGGCAGTTTTTGGATGTCTCAAGATTTTAAGTCTGATATTTGATTCATATCTCAAAGGCTCTAGTCATTGGAGAGCAGGTTGAACCCTTCACTGTGCCTTTTGTAAATTATATTCCCAATCTTATAAATCACAGTAGGCAAAAGGAAAAGCTCTAAAATAAGAGTAACAGCATCCATATATACTAACGGATTGATCCTTTAATGTAACGATTACAAGAGCAAACATGTGTGCACCATCTTATTGTCTTGTTGTCAACACAGCAACTAATTGAACCATCTTCAAAGTGAAATATATCTCATTTAAGGCTTTAATAAAAGATCATATTGGTTTCTTTAATAAACACATTTCTCATGATCCGCCTCCTCCTTCTGTCAGGAAATCTAGCCAACATCATGCGTAATTATGGATATTCATTCATAACCTGGATAGAAATGTGTGTGGGAGTAAGAATATCTTTAATAGTGTAATTTCACCTAGATTTGAGACAGCTAATACCATAAACACCATCAGCTCTGCATGTCTGAATTTAAAGAATCACAAGGGGCCAGAAAAGAAACATTATTTGTTCAAAGTGAAAGCACATGTTTAGTTAGTGCCATTTTCATCTCTTTCAATCTGGCTGGGACCCTTGCATGTTCACATAACACATTTCCAAACTTTAATTATAAAAGCACATACAAAAAAAATAATAATGCAGGGAACAACAAAGAAAATCCAATATGATTTCAACGACATTTTCTTTATAGATTTTGTCACTGTGTTGGCTGCCATAACAACTTTTCTAAACATTACAATTATCTCTTGGGAGAATGTCATCATGGGTACAACTCCAACTCTGATAACACTTTCTCCCTTTGCTTTTATGTCCAACAATGAGGTGAGATAACAACAGAGACACAGAGAGGGCTGGCTAAAGAGAGGGCTCACATTTCAGATTCACTCCATGACAAGGACACAATGACTGTCTGCCTTCAGCTCTAAGGCTTTCTCACACACACACACACACACACACACACACACACACACACACACACACACACACACACACACACACACACACACACACTATCTACTCAGGTTCATCACCTTCCATTCTTTTCTCTCTGCACTGATAACCATGGTAACCCGTCTATCTGTCCGTTGGCCTCTCTATGCCGCGTCTACGCTCTGTTAACCAGATGTCTCGGAGGATTTGCTGCCATACAGCCCCTAAATTATAATACTGTCAGAATGTATAAGCACACACAGGGAGAGCTGGGAAATGTCATCGTCAAAGAAGTTGTTTCAACACTCCCAAACACTGATTACAAGGAAACAACCATTGAAAAAATGGGCGGAAAAACACTAATGTTACCCAAAGAATAATTACAGTACAGGCTATTGCGTCATCATATCAAAATGTTCAAATGTAGACATTATCATATAATGCCACATTGCGGTTATGTTTTACAATTAAAATGTATCCATACAAATATATATTTATACATATGTTGGAGAGAAACTAAATAAAACATTTGATTTTCTCAGCATCAACCAAATCTAGCTTGAATGTTCAACCTTGATTTTGTCACAAGGTTCATTGACTAATTGGACATTCCTGGAGCTTTCAGCCACACATTGTGGTCTTTTTCTATGAAAAGGCTTTGATTCGTTATTTGTTTTCGGTATTTGACCTTGTTGATGTTGCAAGTGGAGAGGCTGAGATGCAAGAAGAATATCAGACCTATTATCGTATCGTTTATCGTATCGTCACATGTTTTTGCATGACCAGAAAAGCCACTAGGTAAAGACTTAACCATCTCACTAAAAAGAAATCAAACCTCTTCTGCTGTTGCAAGATGTGGGAATTCAATTTTACACCGACCATAGATTTGATGCTTTTCAACCGTTATTGTATTCTAAAAAGAGGAGTTAAGACACCCAGGACTTCCATCTATATCCCAGGGTACACCTGTTCCAACAAATATAGTGTTTACAAAAGTGACGATATTGAAGGACACTACTTATCAATGCAGTAGGAAGAACAATACGATATCAATATGGGAGTTAAATCTAAACTTAAGTAGAAAATGTCCAGACATGACTGGATTTCCACCAAATTCAGGATGACAGCAAATATATTCTATCGTATGAAGGCTTCTCATGACATTATGAATAAAACTTTATCCGTTTATTTCTGTGGACGATGAGTCTGCACTGCTTGTCCTGCTGCATGGATGTGTGTGTGCATGCGAGTGTGTGTGTGATGGATGTGTTATTGTTGAGTTTTGAGGCTAGATGTATGCTTGATGGAACAAGAAGAAGGTTGAAAAAGACAGGATCATCTCTCTATGTATCTCTCCTTCTCTCTCTCGCCCTTCCATCCAGAGCATTTGGGGGGGGGG